AGAGGGTCGGCATCCTGAAATTCCTGGTCAGCCAGAACGTGGATGGCCTTCACGTGCGCTCCGGATTCCCAAGGTACTGCCTCTCCCGCCCTGTCTCTGGGTTCCTCATCCCTTTCCCTGCACTGCCACGTGGCTGTTCTTGCTACCTGATAAGCAACAGCCTCGTGTGCAAGTGTTTGGTGCTGGGGCTTGAAAGCCGTGTCTGATGTGGGGAGCACATGGAAGGGGGACATAAACCGGCTTGAACTGAAGAGAGGTTATGGCAGTAATGCAGAGGGTGGTGAAATGAAACCAGCCTCGGTTGATGCTCTCTAGATGGACACCCAGAAGCCATTTGCTGGTCATGGTGTCGGGCTGTCTCATGTTGTCACCCACCAGCTGCCTGCCTGGAGCTGTCGGTGCCACTGTGAGCATGGCCTAGGGAAGGACACGTTGGCTTCAAGCAGGGCACATGCTCCTGGGAGGTGGGCTCGGAGCACATGGGCCTTTCCACTGCCTCTGTACCCATCCTAGAGGGCTGAAGGGACTGCAGGGAGGATGAAACTGCTGCTGCTGGTTGCAGAGCCACGTGGTGCCCTGTTTGACCAGCGCTGTCTCACACAGCACTGGATCTTGAGCTACTTTTACACTTTGCTTGCATTGAATTTCTTGCCTCTCAATACGTTTGCAAAACTGCAAAGGCAGCAAGAAGGAGAGAGTCCCACAGTTGGGACAGGTCTGACGTACCTGTGGTGAGGTCAGGGACCCTGTGTGGCCCTGTTCCCTCTGCAGGGAGCTGCAGCGTGTGGAGCAAGGGTACAGCATCTGCTCCCCGTGTGGTGGGGACTGAGCTGTGTTTAGTCGTGGCTGTTTCAGAGGTGTCCTCAAAGGAACCCACCTCTCCATTAGCGCTCCTGGCAACAAGGCTCTTCAGCCTGTTATAAAAGCCATTTCCAGCACTTAAGGCCAGCAAGCGATTGTCTTGTGAGGCAAAGTGCTTGGAGCTGCCTGGAAAGGGAAGAGCAGCTGAATTCAAGTCATAAAATAAAATGGAGTTGGGATGAGAACAAGGAGCGTGAATGGAACCTTGGAGAGGATGCCTCTCATGATCATCTTCAGCCATCGGTGGCTGAGCTGCCTCCCAGGGGGAAATTCCAGTTATTAAAAGCCCTCAGTCCTGGTCCCTGCTCCTTGCACCACATTTGGCTTTTGAAACTAAACAACCATGGGAAAAAGAATAGGAAACAAGAACTAGAACCCAGCCGTGCTCCCTGCAGCCCATTGCTGCTGGCGCCTGCTGGTTTAGCACAGCTCGTCCACACAAGTAGAGCATGTGCTTAAGTAAGTGCTGCTGAACTGAGGCCAAAACGGGAAATCAAGTCAGTCCTGTCTCCATCCACCCTGAAGGACGTTCCCAGTCACCATGGGGCTCGCAGGAACACAGGGGGAGCGTGGCCTTATTTTCCTCTGGCTTCTACATTGAGCTCAAGGGGAGTTTTAGTCAAAACAAGCAGCAGAAGAGCCATGCAAGGACAGGCAGGAACAGCAGGAGCTGGGAAGAGCAAAGATCCAGGTTCCCACTGGGCGCAGAGGTTTGAGGCTGGATCAGAACAGGGGCTGGAATTGGTGCTGCAGATGGAAGCATTTACAATGAAAAGGCTGGGCCGTGCTGTCCTTCCTCTCAGTCCCATGGTGGTGGCCATGGCACGGAACTGCTCCCAGGCCATGGTGGAGGGAGGCCTGGAGGTGCAGGGTCTTGGTGAGGAGGGGGCTTGGGCAGCTTGCTCCGTTGTCCCGGGGCTCTCTCAGCTGACCTCTGGTGTTCCTCCTGCAGGGACAAGCTGGCCGAGCTCCATGGGAACATGTTTGTGGAAGAGTGTGTGAAGTGTGGCAAGTATGTGAGCCCAGAGCTGGGCGGTGGGAGCTTTGTTGGTGTCCCCAGGGAATGATGGAGGCGCTGGACCCATGATGGGGTTGTCGCCTGGCAGGTCTGAAGCTCAGTTTGGGTGGGGGGCATAGGCAGATCTGTCCATCTGAATCCTAAACCCTGTCAAACAATGGGAAATGAGCATTCTGGGAATCCTCCAGTGCCTGGGATGCCTTTGGCAAGTCCTGCTCCTCGTGGCAAGGCGGGCTGCCTGCAGCAGGGGCTGTGCCTGCCAGCAGGAGAGAGCAGAGCAGAGCAGAGGAGGTTGCTGCAGGCTGGTTTGTGGCAGACTGGTGCTGTTGGTCAGAGCTGCCGTCAGCAGCACCAGGATAGAGCCACGGGCAGAGATCAGTGAAGGGCTGAGGTGCTGCAGCCACTGCCTGTGGCTCTGAGCTGTCCTCACAGTGCAGGGGATGAGGTGTGAGCTGTGCCATGGCAGGGTGGGTGTTTCACAGCGGGTGCCACCTATTCCTGACCAGCCCCGTGTCTCTTGCAGGCAGTACGTGCGGGATGCCGTGGTGGGCAGCATGGGGCTGAAGCCCACGGGCAGGCTCTGCAGCGTCACCAAAGCCCGGGGGCTGCGGGCCTGCAGGTGCGTCTGTGGGGACACGGGATGGGGACAATGCCCTGCTGTGGGATGGCAGCTTGCGAGCCCCCTTCCCCTCCAGCAGCATGCACTGCCCTGGAGCTGCTTGCTTCCATAGGGAAATGGTTCCAGCTCTGCAGCTGGAGGTTACCCTGAGGTGATCTGGCATCCAGACACGTTCCATGTGCCCCTCGTGCTTCCTCACCCAGGCTCGCCAGGCCCAGCACAGCTGCTTTTCCCATCCAGGGGCGGGTGCAGAGCTGGGGACTCAGGGCCGTGGGGCAGAGCTCTGCTGGCTCCAGTCTGATACTGGGGAGCGAAAGGCTCATCCCAGCTCTCAACATGATCTGGGCCGCTGTCCCGTCTCCCGGGGCACTTCTGCTGCTGTTCCTGCTTGGCAGGGCACACCACTAAAGCCACTGTGTGTGTTTTCTAGAGGGAAGTTAAGAGACACCATTCTGGACTGGGAAGATTCCCTGCCTGACCGTGACCTCACGCTGGCGGATGAAGCCTGCAGGTACCGTGCTGGGGCTCCCCGCACTGCAGGAGGCTGCCTGGGCTCTGCCTGCAGCACTCTGCCCATGGGCTGACCCAGTCTGGCTTTGCCCATCTGCACCTCACAGCCCTGAGGCTGCTCCCCACAGCACAGCAACACCCAGTCCTGCCCCAGAGAGTGGCCAAGAGAAACCACTGCAGACTCCTTGCACCATGGCTGGGAAGCTTGTAGAGTCCACACTGGAGCAGGGTAGGAGAAGCAGCCTGCAAAGAGGCACGGCTCTCTCTCTGCCCTGGACGTTTTGTCTCCTCCCTGCAGGAAAGCTGATCTCTCCATCACACTGGGGACCTCTCTGCAGATCAAACCCAGCGGCAACCTCCCACTGATCACGAAGAAGAGAGGAGGGAAGCTGGTCATTGTCAACCTGCAGGCAACCAAACATGTGAGTGAGAGCGTCCTGGCTGCTGGCCGGCTCCTTTCCCCTCGTGTCACTTGTTCCAGCCCCGTCACAGGGTGGCTGGGCAGAAGAGTGGCCTCACTTAGCAGGCAAACAGGCTGAGCGTCCCTGGTTGGAGGGTTTAAACCTGCAATAAACCCATGGAAATGTGTAGAAATCCTGACATATCCTCTGGTGAATTCCAGCCTGGTGAAATAACCTCACACACGTGCCCATACCACAGGGCAGTTGGGTTCCTGTTCAGCCCTGGTTTGGTGCTCTAACTGTCCAAAGTGTTTGAATTCCCAGAGCTGGGAGTTCCTGGGGTGTTGTTGGAGCTCCCTTGTCCCTGTCCCCTGTCCTGGGCTCACAGCCAGGCTCTGTGTCCATATCCCCGTCTCGGCTGCATTCTGAAGCGCACCCTGGTAGAGCGGGTTAGGGAGTGGTGCCAGACGGGTCAGTTCATGTTCCACCAGGGATGATTCCTTGGGGACAGGAGTCCCGGAGCCTGCGTGCAGCTGAGCTGTCACCCAGGCCCTGTCCCTGTGCTCTCCCAGGGAGCTCCATCCCTGGCAGCGTTCAAGGCCAGGTTGGACAGAGCCTTGGGCGACATGGTCTAGTGTGAGGCATCCCTGCCCATGGCAGGGGATTGGAACTGGATGATCTTAAGGTCCTTTCCAACCCAACCGATTCTGTGATGCTTCTGTTCTTGCCCATGGTATGGAGTCTGGACTTGACGGTCTTTAAAGGTCTCTTCCAACCAAAACCATTCTGTGGTTCTAACGTCCCCTTGCTTGCCCCAGGACAAACAGGCCGACCTCCGCATCCACGCTTACGTCGATGATGTGATGACGAAGCTGATGAAGCACTTGGGGCTGGAGGTGCCGGAGTGGACGGGGCCGGTGGTGGTGGAACATGCGGAGCTCTCCAAGGCCGAGCAGCTCTGCAGGTTTGAGGCCGGGGCTCAAGGGCTGTGCAAGGAGGAGCCGCTCTCCCAGCACAACGGCACGGGCGGGCTGAGCCCTGACCTTGGGACCACACTGGTGGAACGCCGTGACAGCCTGAAGCAGGAGTGTCCCAGCCCGGACATGGGGCCAACAAGGGTGAAGAAGATGAAGGTAGAGCCTCTCGTCACCTGACCCAGACTGTTCCCTGCCTGTCCAGATGCTCTGTGCCACTTTTCCTACCGACTTTTTTTAATACCCTGAAACACTGTCCCTTTTTTTATGTAAGTATTAAAAACACTCGGATCGTGACTCGGGGCAGCTGCGCCCGCGGGCCCAGGCAGGGCACCCGAGACATACCAAGCCCCTTGTTCCTCCTCTGCAAGGAGGTGGTTGCGGGGCACCCCTCAGACCTCAGGGGGTTGAGGGACAGGGTGCTGAGGCAGCTGATGCCACCCCGAATGAAGCCAGGGCTGGGCAGTGGGTGCCTGGTCCCACTGCCTCTGGCCGTGCCCACAATTCTGGTGCAGCATCCAGCCATGGGCCGTGGCTCTGCTGTGCCCTATTGCCTGTGGCAGCCAGGCTCGAGGTGTCCCCACCCCAGGGGTCCTGGAAACCTTGTGGTTCCCCCCATGTTGAATTAAAGCAGGTGCATTTTTTTCCAAAATATCTTGTATTTAGCGATGAAAATAAAGCTTAAAAAAACCCAAACCAAAACCAACCAGTTGCAACATTGTCCAGCCCAGGGTCCCTGCAGCTCCTGCTGCACAGGAGGCTGGAGCCAACCCTCCCCTCCCAGTAAGGCCACTGGGAACCGTCTCGTTTCGCAGTTCACAAGATACAAGCAAAGCCAAGCATGTCCAGCATCCACCCATGCCCAGGGCCAGATCCTAAAGGGGGTCACCCCGAGGTGCCACCCTGCACCACCCCAGTGTGTCCCCCATGGTCCCTGGATGCTGCCTAAAGCTCCTCGGCCGGCTCCAGCGCCGTGGGCCTGCTGTGCTCAGCCTGACTCCAAGCCAGCGGTGCCAGGCCATGGTGCACTGCAGTGCCATCCTCTGACACAGGGACACTTTGGTCCCCATCCCCATGGCTCAGCCCCTCGGAGGGAAGTGGCTGCGTGTCATTATGGGGAGGCACTTTGTCCAGGCGTGGGGTGAACGCGTGCCCACCAAAGACTTCGTGCAGGGTCTTGCCCAGGCGCTCTGACCACAGCAGCTCCGGCGGCTTCTCGTCACCAGCCTGGGGCTGCGTATAAGCCACGCGGGAGGCGGCTGCGTTGTGCAGGGACCTGGAGAACACTGAGTGTGCAGGAGGGTGAGGGGATGCTCCAGTGCCCTGGGACCCCGGCACAGCCTCAGCACAGCCCCGATGCAGCCCCAGCACTCACCTCGCACGGGTCTGAAGTCACTGTCTGCCTCGGCCCTGCGGGGGGCAAAGGGGCTCATGGAGGGGAAGATGATGAGAGTGAAGGAGAGCAGCAGGACCTGGGGGTAGAGGGGGATGTCACCATGTACAGCACTGGAAGGAGGCACTTTCTGCAGCATGGCTGCCAGGGATGGGGCTGGAAGCAGAACCAGGTCTGCATCCCTCTGTTCCTCCTGGTGTGTGTGACCCTGCCAGCACATCCATCCATCCATCCATCCCTCCCTCCCTCCATCCGTTCTGTCCATCCATCCACCCTTTCCTCCATCCGTCCCTCATTCTATCCCTCCCTCCATCTCTTCCTCCATCTGTCCATCCCTCCCTCACTCCATCCATCCATCCATCCTCATATGCCTCCATCCCTTCGTCTATCCACCTGCCCTTGGAACACCCATCCGTCTGCCCTAGTCCATGTCCATCCCTCTCCACCAGTCCATCCCCTTGGCTCTGGGTGTCCCACCCTCCAAGTGAGGAGGCAATGGGGGGTTTTAGGGGCTCCACACACCGCAACACAGGTTCCCGTCTGCGCTGCCTTGTTGCTTGACTGCACCACGAGGGCCTGGAGCTTCTTCAGCTGCTCCAGGAGGGACCTGGGGACAGATGGAGCCCATAAGCACCTCCCAGCCCCTCCTGCCACCAGCAGGTCTGGTGGGGGGTCTCCAGCCCTGTCCCATCCCTCCTGCTCTAGGAACACCTACGAGTTCTGCTTCTCAAGGTGCAGGACTTTCCTCTGCAGCTCCTGGTTCTGGGCTGTGCAAGCTGACATCCTGGGGGACAGGGAGAGGAGGACAGGGTCGGGGGGGCTGGCAGGGGGCAGTGGGTCTGTCACCCAGCAGCCAGGTGGCCCCCCAGCCGTTGGGGCACCCAGAGCAGTTCGGGTCCATACCGGCTCTCCAGCCCATCGATATATTCCTTCTTCTTCTTGCGGCTCTCCTGAGCCGACTGCTTGTTCCTGATCTTCCGACGGATCTTCTTCAGCACCCGCTCCTCGTACTGGGGGACACAGGGGGGTCAGGAATGCCGGGGCTGGGACCTTCCACCCAGCACCTTTCCCAGGCACGGTGGCACCCACCTTGGTGAGGGGCAGCTGTGTGGGCAGGGACACCCCCTCCTTTGCCAGCAGCTTTTTCTCGTCCTCCGTCAGCACCAGCTCCTGGAACTGGCCCTGGTTCTGCCTCAGCAGGGAGCTGTGCACCGGCAGCTGCTGCGGGGCCACAGATGGGTGACACCCTGGCTAGGGGTCCCACGCCTCACCCCAGGGACCACGGGGGCGACCACGGTGCAGGATCATGGTCCAGGAAGGCACAGGGATGGAACCATGGTGTGAGAAAGGGGACAAGTGTGGGGAAGGGGAGGGATGAGGACAGGAACAGGGAGGGGATTGTGGTCCAAAGAGGAACAAGGCTGGGGACAAGAGGGATGAGGACACAGTAGAGGGGACTCACAGCATCATTGCTGCTTGAGAGCAGCAGGTCCTTGACAGTGAGAGTGCAGGATGCAGGTGGGGAGACCACAGGCAGGTCCTGATTCTCCTCCAGGAAGAAGCCAGGGTGCCACATGTCTGGTGAGGGGAGAGCAGAAGCTGTCAGCTGTCCTGTGTCCCCCTCCGTCTCCAGCACAGGACCCATATCCCAGTCATGGCCCCACAGCTACCACAACTTGCTGCCACCTACCAGTTCAGTGGCCCTGGTCTCTGTCCCCCCCAAGACTGTCCCTCTGGTCCTTCTGCAGCCCCCCTAACCAACCAGCTCAGCCCAGCTCAGCACCCGAAGCCCCCCAGTTCTCCCCAGTCTGCCCATTTAATGCCAGTTCCCAAACTCTCTCCACTCCCTCCAGTTCTCCCTAGTCTACCCAGTTCCCTCCAGTCCCCCCAGCTCCCCTAATTTCCTGAGTATCCCCATGAAACCCCAGCTCCCTCACCCTCCTCAGGTCCCCAGTCTCCCCAGTCACCCCCAGCCCCTTTTGCTTGATCTCTTCCCTGTGGCTCACCCAGGTCGATGGAGACTTCAGGCTGCAGGACCCCAGCCCCACCTGGGATGGGCACAGCCCCACAGGGATTGGTGTAGGGGTACAGGACCTCATTGGGACCCCTGTCACAGCACCCAGGGGGGCTGTCGAGCTGGTCAGAGGGGGTGTCCTCGGAGACCCCACTGTCACTGGTGGCTGGGGACCAGCTGGGAGAGCCGGATGCCGAGTCCCCAGAGCCCAGAATGGAGCTGAGGAAGTCCTCACTGTCCTGGGCACGCTGTGGGGACACAGCCACCCATCACCATGGGATGCTCATCACCATGGGGTGCCCACAGGAGCTGCCTGTGCTGTGGGGTGGTCCCAGCTCCCAGACAAGGTGTGGGGATGGGGCTTTCCTGCCAGACCCAGGGGTGAGGTGGGGATGGGCCCCCCAGGCCGGGGTCTCACCCTGTCCTCGTGCCAGGTGCCTGGTGGTTTCCCAAGTTCCACACTGCGGAGGATCCCGTCCTGGCGGTCGAAGAGGAGGTCCAGCAGGTCGAGGCTGCCCACGCCGGAGGCCATGGCTGCAGGGTGGCAGGGTTAGGTCCCTAACCCAGGCCCCATGATTGTCCCCCTGCCTTCCTTCTGCCCCCCAAGTTGCACAACCCCAGGGACACCCTGAATCGTGGTGCTGATGTGAGGGAGCAGGGAGCATGTTTGGGCATGGGCACACGTGTGCAGGACCATGGGGAGGTCTATCTACACGTGTGACTATGTGTGACCATGTGGATGTGTGCACGGCTAGATGTGCACATGGCTGTGCTGGCACACGTGTGTGCAGAGCTATGTGTCTATGCAGCCACACGGCTGTGCAATGACATGAGCATGTGAACACACATATGTGTGGGCACCTGTATGTGAGTACATGTGGGCACATCTGGCAAAGCCTTACATGCACGCATGCGGAGGGGACAGCACAAGCATACAGGGACTCAGGGGCACAGCAGTGTCCCCCCATCACCTCCTTCCAGCAGCTGAAACTCCCAAATCCTGAGGGTTTTCCCCAAGAGACCCACAGATCCAGGGGCTCCCCACAGGCACCCAACTGCCCCAGCCCCACTGAGCCCCCCAAGTGCAGGAGCAGGATGAGCACCCATCCAGCCCAGTCTCATGTATGCTCTAAGATCAGGTTAATCATTCTCAGGGGCAAGTGGAGGGGGAGGAGACTGCTGCCACCACCCGCCTCGAGGAGGGGACTCAGCCCTGCTTTGCCATTGCCGCCCCAGGACTCAGAAACCCAAGGAGCCAACTAACCAGTTGCCCAACCCACAGATCAGCCAACTGCCAACCCAACTAACCAAGCAGCTGCCCAACTGCGCAACTGGTTCACCTGCCAAACCAATTAACCACTCCAGACACAGGCCAAATGGTCAACTGTTGTCCAACCGACCAAATAACTGACCCACTGACTGACCAGTCAACTGTCTGATCGGTCAACCAACCCACCACCCAACTACCTGACCCACCACTCAACGCGACTGCCCACCCACTACACCCGATCGCCCAGCTGCCCTCCCCAACCTACTAAGCCCTGACTCAAGCGTTCCTCAAGACCGGTTTGGGGATGGTTGTCATTACCATGATGTTTGCTTGGCCAAGCCAGGCAAGGAGCTTTACTGCACCCTGTCTTTCCTCCTTAGTCCTTCCAATGAGCTGTGATGGCCCCATGGGACCATCAGGTAGGCAGACACCACTGAATGCTGTCAGCCAGGACATACCTATGTGCGAGGTTCCGCTCCCACCGCCTCGTCCTGTCTCCTCAACACCCTCGGTGCGCAGGGGAGCCAGCAGACACCAAGCAGGGGCACCTCCACCTTCACCTCTTCCTCCTCCTCTGTGGTGCCGTGACCCAAGTGGCAAAGTTTAAACTCCAACAGCACAGAAATAACATCCCGGATTGCAAAACCCCCCGTCACTGATTGGGGACACGGTGAGCAATGGCAGGGGACAGCCCTGCTGCACTCTTGTCACTCATTAGCCAAATGTTTTTGTCCTCCTGCACAACGCAGGGCAGCAGGGGTGGGCGAAGTCCGAGCGCTGGGATTGCCCGTGAACTTTCACCCATTTTGGGGCTAATTTCCCTTTTTTCAGGCCAGTTAATCACATTTATAGGTGCTCAGAACAACATCCGGTGAGGACATTTACTTAGATTCTACTGCGTGTGGCTTCCTCCACCACAAAGCTTGGTCCCTGTGGCCAGGGCTGACGGGGGGCTCTGCTGCCTGTACCCTCTGTGCCTCAGTTTCCCCTACCCGGGGCAGAATACGCTGTGGCTCCTTGACCACTGCATTCATCCCGTGGTCCGCCATAGCACCCTCACACTGGATCCCACGGGATCAACACGCAGGGAGCGGCCGGGTGAGTAACGCGGCCTGTGCCCGGGGACAAGGCCATGCCCGGTGCCCTCTGCCCGGGGCGGCAGCGGGTAAGACCCCTGTCCTCGCTGGCGGCCGCTCCCTGCTTTATGGCCCGGCAGCGGAGATCGGAACGCCCGCAACCGAGCAAAGGGCGCCCGGCCGGGCGGCGCCATGGTCCCGCGGGCACTCCAGCATGGATGGGGCAGAAGGCAGCAGCTGGGCAGGGCAGGCAGGGGCTGGAGGGGGGTCTCCCATTAATTGTTAATTAAGCTGCTAATTACGGAGACGGCGATCACCGACCGCGGGCCCAACACAACCGCCTCCCCTCCCACCGCCCCTCCGCCATGGCACCGCCCTCTCCCCTCAGCGAGCTCTCGCGAGACCTCGCAGCCCCTCCTCGTTCCCCGCGGGCTCTCAGGCCGCGCCCCCGATAGGCTCCGCCCACTGTGACCACGCCCCCGCGCGCCCCCGGTAGGCCCCGCAGGCGCGGCGCGGCCCGGCCCGGCCCGGCCATGCTGGCCAAGAGGAAGCCGGTGCTGCCGGCCCTCAACATCGCCCCCAGCGCCGCCGAGGGGCCGAGCCCCGACGGCTCCGCAGAGTGAGTGAGTGGTGGGGGGGCCCGAGCGGCCTGCGCCGAGACCGCGGCGGGGAACGGGCCTGGGTGCCTGTGGGAGCCGGGACACGGTGGTCCCGGTGCTGGGGTGACTGTGAGGGCCGGGGAGCGGGAAGGCCGGGACATGGCGGGCGCTGGGGCTGGGGGACTGGCTGGGGTAGGGAGGGTGAATGGGGCCGGTGCTGGGGGTCAGGTTGGGGGTGAGAGGGGCTGGGGCAGGCAGGGTGGGATGGGCAGGGGCTGGAGGCTGGTCTGGTGCCCGGGTTTGCTGGGGGAAGGTCTGGGGGCTGTGGGGACCAGGCCTGGGCACAGAGGCTGGAGCTGGGAGGGGAGGAGCAAGGCTTTTGGGTGGAAGATTTGGGGCAGTGATGAGGGCTCTGTGAGCAGGACGTGTGGGGCAACCAGCGGTGGAGAGGGGGGCACAGGCAGTGCTAGGGAAAGGCAGAGCATCGCCTGGGGGGGCTGTGTGGAAGGGGTGGGTGAGACCCCCCCCCCCCGCCCCATATCACCCTGGGTGCAGAGGACAAAAGGGTGGGCAGCAAATGGGAGGGAGCAGCTGGAGCCCGGAGCTCAGCAGCAGGTGCTGGGGGAGCACAGGCGCCCCTTTGTGCCCGGCAGCAGCGGGTTTGGGGGTGTAGGGAGCAGGGGCTTGCAGGGCACTCCTCATGTTTCACAGCGAAACCCAAGCTGCATTGCCCATGTCGGGAGAGGGAGAGGTTCCTGGGGCTGCTGTTCCCCCCAGGCTGAACTCTGCTGCCTCTTTAAGGGTTGAAGGATTTTCCTATTCCTTGGCTTTCCCAAAAGAGCTCCTCTCCGGAGGAGATGTGTGTGTTGGGCACCATGGGTCTTGCTGTCTGAGGCACCCTGTCAGCACCAGAGCTGAGTTCTGCCTCTCTCCAGAGCTTTGCTTTAGTCTTGTTGCTGAGTATGCACCCGATGATGGCTTCACTTGTTGCCCTCCACTTCCCTAATAAAACCAACCCCTGTCTCTGTGGCGCTGCCTCAGTGTCTCCTGACCATTCCTCCTGTCTCCTCCTGCCCTCTCCAGGGCAAACCTAGTGGACCTTCAGAAGAAGCTCGAGGAATTGGAGCTGGACGAGCAGCAGAAGAAGCGCCTGGAAGCTTTCCTCACGCAGAAAGCCAAAGTGGGCGAGCTGAAGGACGATGACTTTGAGAGAATCTCTGAACTGGGGGCTGGCAATGGCGGTGTGGTCACCAAAGTGCAGCACAAACCTTCAGGGCTCATTATGGCACGGAAGGTAAGGAGGGGATGGGTGGAGTGGGCTGTGCCATCGTGCTCAAGGGCACCCAGCTTCACCTGGGGTCTCTGGGCAGTGACCTGTCTGCATCCTAACACCTCCCTACCCACCTCACCTGGGTTGGGACTGTGGTCCTGGCTGCCTCCAACTGTGTCCCACCACCCATTTAACACTGTCCCAAGGTAGTTCCAAGCAACCCTGACAGTGGCTCCTCTCAGACATGGGTTTATATGTGATGACATCCACTGTGGTGCCCTGTAGCAGAAGTCTGGGAGGTGCTTTGCCTGTTAGAAAAGGCAGAGCTGGGTGTGAACAGTGCAACTGCTCATCTCTGGGACAGCTTCCATGAAAGCCTCTGGTCTCTCCTGCTGTTGGGGTGGTTTAGTGGATCTCCATGAGCAAATCCACCTATTTAGGTGGCTATATTTGGAGCTGAGCTCTTGTAGCCTTCCAGGGTAGTTGATTTTGGAATGCTGGGTGTCACTGGGTGGTTTGGACGTTGTTGGGAGCTCCGTGCTCCTAACTGGAGCAAAGGCAGGCTGCAGCACTGCTGTCCTTCCTGCAGAGACCAGCGGTGGTAGGTCTGTGGGACGGACAGGCACCCCTGGGGTTGGGTGTCCTAGAGCTCACGATAACAGTGGCTCCTTTTCTGACCTGCCTTTGGCTTCCCTACCCACAGCTGCATTAACTGACTCTATATGAGGAGCCTGAAGAATAAAGCGACTGCTCTTTCATGTGCATAATCTTCACAGGTTTTTGTACCCTCTGTGGTTTCTTTGATACTGGAGCACCTCTTCTTACACCATCTACAGAGCTGGTGGAAATGCTCCTGTTTGCTGAGTCAGACCTACAGCACACTTGAGACTTGTCTTTCCGCTCGGTACCTGTCGCTGTGTTACATGCCTGGCACTTGCTTCAGTCACCAAGAGGCTGCCCGGGGCTCAGCCTCTCGCCTTACCCTTAGTGTTAGTCTGCAAGTGGTGTAAAGTCTATGCCAAAGCAGAGCTTCCCTGGAAGACTTTGTTTCATTCCAACACTCGGGACTAGCCCATATGGTTCCTGGAAGTTTGGCTGTTCCACCTTGACTGTTTTCTTCTTTTCTTGGCAGCTGATTCATTTAGAAATCAAACCAGCCATCAGGAACCAGATCATCCGAGAGCTGCAGGTGCTGCATGAGTGCAATTCCCCCTACATCGTGGGTTTCTATGGAGCCTTCTACAGCGACGGAGAGATCTCCATCTGCATGGAGCACATGGTGAGTCCCTGTTCCTCCTCTGCAAACTGCTGCTCACTGGTCTGGTGTGAATTGCATCTCCCCGAGACTTGAAATTGCAGAGAATTGGGTGAATTGCAGGTGAAGTGGGTTTAGGCTGCTGGCAGCTGCCATGGTCCTTGCTCTGGCCACAGCCAGGGCACTCTGCTCCTGGTAGGAGCTGCACCTCCTGAGTAGGCATTAAAATGGCAGAGATCCACCTTTGCAAAGTGGAATCAAAGGTTTGGGGTTGGCCAAACGGAAATCTTGTAAACAAGAGCTTGCTCTGAAGCACAATGTGCATCTCCTGTTGTCTCTGGCTGAGAACAGCGGTGTTGCTCCTCCAGATCAGTGCTGACAGCATCGTCCTTAGCACTGATGGAAAGGAAGCTAAGAACTCATAGCAAGAAGTAAAGCTGATAGAAGATAGCGTTAAAATAGTTTTCAGTGAGAAGCTTGATCAGCAGATATCTATCTTTTTGTTTTAAAAGGAGCGATGCTGAGCCTTGATGCTGAGCTGGGATGCTCTGTCCTGCTTATACCCACTCACCCTCCCTGGGCATGCCTGCCTGTGCCTCCAGGTGCTCTGTTTTCCTGCCAGGGTTTGGCGTGTTGGTCACTTTAATGTTCTTCATTTTAGGATGGTGGCTCTTTGGATCAAGTGTTGAAAGAAGCCAAAAGAATTCCTGAGGAGATCTTGGGGAAAGTCAGTATAGCGGTGAGTTGCAGTGGCTCTTCAGGCTTCCAGAAGGGATTTTCTGGGCATGGTTTGGGAATAATGCTTGTGCTGCCTTAGGAAGGATTCTTTGTTGCCCCCGTGCATGTTCCTATGTGGTCTGGGGCAAGAGGCTGTGGTGTATGCGGGAGGGGAGAGGGAAAGCCTATTCCCAACCACCCCCTGTAGCTCTGACCCCTTGTGTTGCACTGATTGGTGTCGACTTCTCCCAGAGAAGATTTGGGAGAAGGTTTTTTTTGGGCTTTGGTTAACCCAAAGGGAGAGCCCTTTCGTTCCCAGCTCTGATCTCGTCCTCTCTCTGGTTTCCCTCTAGGTTCTAAGAGGCTTGGCATATCTCAGAGAGAAGCACCAAATCATGCACAGAGGTGAGAGGAGGAACCTAAAAATAACTGCCTGCAGTACAAGAGCCCTGTATTCTACCCAAAGTCGTGTTTACGCTCTTCTCTCTTGCTGTTGGCAGATGTGAAGCCTTCCAACATCCTGGTTAACTCTCGAGGAGAGATCAAGCTGTGTGATTTTGGGGTCAGCGGTCAGCTCATTGACTCCATGGCAAACTCTTTTGTGGGAACTCGGTCCTACATGTCTGTAAGTTCCTTCCAGGTTCTGGCTGGGTTTTTTCCACAATCTGGGTTCAGCTCAGCTCTTACAGAATCACACTGAAGTGTCTGATTCACTCATGGATTTACTCTGTGTTTGCATCTGGACTGCCCCATTCCTTGTTCGTGTTAGGGATGAGCCTGGTGCTTTGAGGCACTGTCCTGTGCTGAAGAATCATGGACTCGCAGACTGGTTTGGGTTGGAAGGGACCTTAAAGCTCATCCAATTTCAGCCCCCTGCCACGGGCAGGGACCCCTTCCACTGGAGCAGCTTGCTCCAAGCCCCTGTGTCCAACCTGCCCTTGAACACTGCCAGGGATGGGGCAGCCACAGCTTCTCTGGGCACCCTGTGCCAGCACCTCAGCACCCTCCCAGGGAAGAGCTTCTGCCTAAGAGCTCATCTCAGTCTCCCCTCGGGCAGGTTCAAGCCATTCCCCTTGGCCTGTCCCTACAGGCCCTTGTCCCAAGCCCCTCTCCAGGTTTCCTGCAGCCCCTTCAGGCACTGGAGCTGCTCTGAGGTCTCCCCTTCAGGAGCCTTCTCTTCTCCAGGCTGACCCAGCCCAGCTCTCTCAGTCTGGCTCCAGAGCAGAGCTGCTCCAGCCCTTGCAGCATCTCCATGGCCTCCTCTGGATTCACTCCAACAGCCACATTCCTCTTGTGTCAGGGACTACAGAGCTGGACACAGGCCTGCAGGGGGGTGTCTCCCCAGTAACAGACACCTCCATGTTCTCTTGAGGTGTCCTGTCAGCTCCAAGAGGTGCCTGCCTGGCAGTGGTGCCTTGGAAATGCAGAGACTTGCAGGGAAGGGCACTTCAGATCCTACAAACACTTCTGTATTTTATTTGGTGAGTGTTTGTGGGTTCACAACCATTTTCTGTGTGCAAAGCTCTGTCCAAAACACTGAGAGTGGAGGGGATACAATGCTGGGCCATTCCCACCACCTCATCCTACCTCCTCCCTGCACCATGGCCAGGAAGGAGTAGTGGGTTATTAGGGAAGCCTTCAGACTCCTCTTCTGTGTCTAGGGCTGAGCTGCTCTCGTATTTTGGGAATGGTTATTCAAGTACAGTTATAGTTAGACAGTGGCTATCTAATATCTCCTTTGCACTCAGCCACTGGCTCTGCCCAGCTGACTCGAAGCTGCCGCTATGGGTGACTTGCATTGATTTATATATATTTAATTTTTTTAGTGGTAAGAGCCTAGAGTGGATTTTCTCTTCCTCAGATTCCTCTTGGGTATTAATTCAAATAAGCAGTGAAAAACCCATCTTGATAATAAATTGAAAGGCCTGTAGGGACTGGTACTGGGATAAGGGGGAATGGCTTGAACCTGCCCGAGGGGAGACTGAGATGAGCTCTTAGGCAGAAGCTCTTCCCTGTGAGGGTGCTGAGGCGCTGGCACAGGGTGCCCAGAGAAGCTGTGGCTGCCCCATCCCTGGCAGTGTTCAAGGCCAGGTTGGACACAGGGGCTTGGAGCAAGCTGCTCCAGTGGAAGGGGTCCCTGCCCGTGGCAGGGGTTGGAGATGGAGGAGCTTTAAGGTCCCTTCAACCCAAACAGTCCCGTGATGCTATGATGCAGAGTTTCATCTATTTCATTCCAGTTCGTGCTCTTTATGACTTTGCATCCGGATGCTGTGAGTCAACGTGTGTTTCTGTGGTCTTCCCTTCCAGCCCGAGCGGTTGCAGGGCACCCACTACTCCGTCCAGTCCGACATCTGGAGCATGGGGCTGTCCTTAGTGGAGCTGTCTATCGGAAGGTACCCAATCCCCCCGCCAGACTCCAAGGAACTGGAAGCAATATTTGGCCGTCCCGTGGTGGACGGGGCAGAGGGAGACTCTCACAGCATCTCGCCGCGGGCCAGGCCCCCAGGACGCCCCGTCAGTGGTAGGGGCTGTCGTATGCATTGAACACCACACAGACATGGGGGCAAATGGGTTGGGTGGTGTTGGGTTGGCCAAAGGCTGCTTTGCATGAGGTTGTGGTGGGGAGACGTATCCAGGGAGGCCCCTCTCTGCAGAGCAGATGGAGCCATGTTGATGCTCTACCAGCATCCATTCTACCACAGAGGGGTTTCTAAGTCCTAATGCGTGCAGTTGAGAGTCTGGTCTTGCATGATGAGGTGGAGATTGCTCTCAGGATGCTGTCAAGGAATGGATTTGAAGTGCCAGCCAGGGTCTGTTGATGTTCTGAAGAGCTCAGTTTATCTGCCTGCCTTTAGATGTCTGTGTCTTACAAAGGCTAAAGCCAGGCAGCAAAGCACCCTGTGCTGGGGATGGGATGTGGAGCCCTGGGAGGCGATGCTGTGAGGGACGCTGTCAGAACTTCTGTTGCTCCTCAGGCTTTGCCCATGCTGCCAACAGGTTCCTTTCAAGCTAGAGGCAGCTTTTGGGGAAGAGCTTTGCAGGGAGCTCTCACAGAAGTATCCAACCAGCATGGGAGCTGAGGGAGGCTGTTCTTGAGCCATTTGCTTGGAGGCAGAAGGCTCTGGAAGCGCTGCCAGCCTGCGACAGCAGATGGTTTGGTGCTCTCCAAATGCTCCAAGCTGGGATGTGAATCTGGGCTATAGGCATGGGGAAGGAAATCAGAAATCTTGGAATGCATTTTGGTTTTCTCTTCCACTACAAGTCTGCTCCCAAGTGGGTTGTCTCTGCCTCTCCCAATAGAAATCCCACTGCACATGTGTTTTTCACACAAGATGAAGCCCTTGGCTGTCCCCAAGCAGCCTCTCACCACTGTTTTTGTCATCTTGACCACACAGGCCATGGGATGGACAGCCGGCCTGCCATGGCCATCTTTGAACTGCTGGATTATATAGTTAATGAGGTGGGTATTTCCTTACCATCAGCTCTGCCGGGCTTCCCTGGGGTCCGTGGGGCACCAAGGTGTCATCTCCACTCTGCTGGGTCAGGGTGGGCTCCAAAGCCTTTGCTTTTCAATAGAGAGCCCCTCTGAGCTCCACAGATGTCACAGAATCATAGCATGGGTTGGGTTGGAAAGGAGCTCAAGATCATCCAGTTCCAGTCCCCTGCCGTGGGCAGGGACACCTCACCCTGGACCATGTCCTTTCCTTCTCTGTTCCCCCTTCCCATCTCTCTGTATTGCAAAAGCATCTCTGGGTGCTTTTGCAAGTGGGAAGAGCAGTTTCCCGTGTCAGGATGATCAGAGTTAACCCCCGGTTACTGTTTCTGGATCAGCTTCATCCTCTATAGGTGTTGCCAGAGCTGGGATTTGCGAGGTTGGATCTGGAATTGCGTTGCTGCAACTTGAGTTTTCCAGCTTTGGCAGGGATTTAGTGCAGGGTCCCCCCAGTTGCACATGGAGCTGGGGAGCAGTTTGCTGCTGGGGTAGGAAACGATGGGGAGCAGTGAGGAGGAGGAGAGCTGGGGAGCACAGCTTCTCTGCAGCTCCTTCAGAGCGAGGTGCCACTCTGGTTTTTGACCCATTAACATGCTGAAAACCCTTCTCCTTTTCTCCCCAGCCACCTCCCAAGCTGCCCAATGGAGTTTTCACACAAGACTTCCAGGAGTTTGTAAATAAATGGTAAGGATTTCCCCCGGGGGCTGATGTGGGGACCCGTAGGTGCTGCCTGACAGCTCTGCAGGCCACTGCTCCACCCAGAACTTCAGTGTAACACAATGTTCTCCTGCTCTGTAGGTGATCTGCCTGGCTGCAGGGATCCCGCCTTGTGCTGGGAACTCCAGCCTTGGGAAGGGCTGGAATAAAAGCAGTTTATTTCTGGTGATGCTGAGCAGTATCCCAGCGCCTTCTAAATATGAGCCTGGCAGGGGGATGGTGGAACAGATTGGCGGGGCTGAGTCACCCCACAGCCTTGCAGGCACCACACTGTCACCTTGCAGCCCTTCTGATGTGGTGGGGGGACACCTGAGGATGCTGCTGCAGCTCCTGTTAAATCACAGAGCTTGGACATGGCAGAAATCTCCGATCCCCATCAAGTGCTGGGTCCTTTTCCCATCTGCAGGTGCATTTCCTCCACACAGTCTAAAAGAGATGGATCCTGCAGCTCTCCCCAGGAGCTGGGCTGTTGGAGATGATGCTTTCCAAGCTGTTTCCACACTGCCAGGAGGCCAAAGGGGCTTTTGGTGATGCTGGAGACCTTCAGGGGACTGGTTTCCCACAAGCAGTGTCTCAATGTTGGTTTTGCTCTCTCATTCTTCTCATTTCAGCTTAATTAAAAACCCAGCAGAGCGGGCAGATCTGAAGATGCTGATGGTAAGCGGGGAGAGCAGGTTTCTTTCTCCAGTGGGGTGGCACCAGATCTGCCAACTGCTACCCCATCTCTCTGCACCTCTTGCTCAAAAGGCTGGAAACTCCCCAGCTGAGCTTAACAGGAGCCAAATGGAGCCTGGGAGAGGGAGTGTGACTCACCTGTAGTTCAAAGGCAGTGATGGTATCAAGCCTGTGTGGAGCTGGGGTGGGAACCACCCGCTGTCCTGTGCCTGAGAGACAAACCTTTGCCTCCTGAACTGGGCAGATAAATAGGAACATAGTTGGGCTGAGCACAGCCCGGCTTCAGTGAGCGCTCGAGCCCAGAGAAGCTGTGGCTGCCCCATCCCTGGCAGTGTTCAAGGCCAGGTTGGACACAGGGGCTTGGAGCAAGCTGCTCCAGTGGAAGGGGTCCCTGCCCTGGCAGGGGTCAGAGCTGGATGAGCTTTAAGGTCCCTTCCAACCCATGCCATGTAACCACGCTGACCTCTGCACCAAGTGCAGTCCCTGGGCTCCTGGGTAGCCCTTGCAAAGGAGGTGGCCTGTGTGGCCCAATGCCCTTTGCAAAGGTTGTCCCGTCCCACCTCAGCTTCTCCCTTACCTTGTGCCCTTGAGGGAGCAGCATTTGCCACCCAGGGGCAGTTGGGACTGTGTGGAGCTGCAGCACCTTGTCCTGCCTGTACCGAGCAGGCAGGGGCCATCTGGGCTCTGTTCTCCTGTCGGTATTCCCTGCTCCCGTGCTGCGTGTTGACTCTGGGGCCAGCACGGATTAAAATCCCAGCAAGGAACAAACAGTTCCTCTAAATCACCTTTCCCTGCCTGAGTCACGGCGCCGGGATCTTCCCCCCTCTCCGGGCTCCTTCCTGCGGCGTGGGGCTGGGTTTGGGGCCACGCAGCCGGTGCCGTTCCTAACCCTGTTCCCTTGGCTTCCAGAGTCACACCTTCGTCAAGCGCTCCGAGGTGGAGGAGGTGGATTTCGCAGGCTGGCTGTGCCGAACGCTGCGGCTGAACCAGCCCAGCACTCCCACCCGTGCCGCCGTGTGAGGGGCAGCACATCAGCCTCCGCCGCCGTTTCCTCTCCTCCCGCAGGCCACACAAGCGCCCTCCCTCCTTCCTCCTCCTCCTCCTCCTCCTCGCATCCAAGCGGCAAAGCACCATCGTCCCCTCGGAAGCATCTCTCGGCCGCCCCGCAGCCGGAGCGGGGTTGGTTCCTATGGATGGTGGTTTGGGGCAGGGAGGGGGGGGTTCCAGGCCTGTGCTCCAGCTCCGGAGCTCCTGCCACATGGGCAATGCGGTGCTGCTTCTGTTCATTTTGGTTTGTTTTGGTTTTGAAACATGGTCCCTTGGGTTCAAAAAAGAAAAGAATGGGATGTGTGTGCACACGAGCGTGTGTGTGAGACAGGGCCGGACCTCCACGTCCTCCTGGTAGGGCTCCGACGGGGAGTAATGAGTGGAGGGGCTGGAGAAACCCTGCCTTGGGTGGCTGGGAATGGTGTTGCTTTCCCATCCCTTTCCAAGTGCTGGGGTAGGGGTTAGTGGTTGAGCAGGAGCGGAGCCGTGAGCTCCCTCCTGGCTCTGCTGCGGGTGGAGGAGAGGAGAGAGTTGTGTGTTCTTGTTCAGGGGTTGTGTTAAACCTGTTCTTGTCGCACACTGGGTGTTAATGAAGGGTCTCGATGTGCTGAGTGGGGGCAGAGCTCTTGGGATGGGAGGGAACTGGGGGGGAGCTGCGGGTTGGGGGTGAGTGGATCCATGGCAAGCTCTGGCTTGGACCTTGGGGTGCTTCCCTGGCTCCTTCCATTGCAGAGGTGGGAGCAGAGCTGCTGGGGCCAGGGCAGGAGTGGGATCCCCCCAGACCCACCATGTCCTAAGGGTGAACCCCATCCAGGTCCCTGGTTTTCCCCCTCCAGCTGCCTCTCACCAAGCGCCCTTGGCCATGGGGGATGGAGGAGAGCCCCAGGGTCCCTGCTGGACCCCCCCTTGAGCCCCCCCACTCCCCTGGGATGGGGCTGTAGAGAGTCAAGGCTGAGCCTGGCAGAGCAGGGATGACCCCCCCCAATACGACCACGTTGTCCCCGGGCCCCACTGGTGTCACTGGGGGTCATGGTCCCTCCTGGCCGTGTCCCCCCCATGCTCAGGAAGGACTTCATGCACCCCAGGCTGAGCCCCGCTCTAACCTCATTTTCCACCCCCCGTTTGCATTTTTGGGGGACCCATTTTGCCCAGTGGGGCTTTGTGCTCCCCAAGCCCCCACAGGAGATGATTTGGGAAGCTTGGTGGGATTTTTACCAATTTTCCTTCTTTTCAGGCTGTTTTTTTTTTCCCAAAAGCAAGGGGGGGCTGCCAGGGCCCTGGTAACCCCAAGCCCCTCATCTGCGTCCAGCACTGTCCTGCTGGGGACAACCCTGTCCCCCCAGGGCAATCCCATGGGGAGACCCCACATTTGGGGGGGGGGGGTCTGTGCTCACTGGCTCAGCCTGGGTTGCTTGTAGTGGGTTTTTGCCTCTGATTGAGGTGGGGAAGGGGAGGTCTGAAGCTTTGGGGTGATTTCAGGTGGTTTCAGGGCAGGTTTTGGAGGAAGGGGAGGTGGGGTGGGGGGAGGTTGTGTTGGTGCAATTACTTTTTTAGACTCAATATTTTCATCCTGGGGTGGAAAAAGCCACCCGAATAAATGGCACTTTACAGCTAATGGGCCTTTTCTCTTCTTGGTTGTGCCCCAACGTGGCTTTAACCCCTGTGAAGCTGGAATGCTGATGGATTGCGGGAATGCCGCTGGGTTCTCCCTGCATGGGAGCGATGGTGCTTGGAGACTGGGATGTGCTGGTGGCTGCCTCCAGCAGAAGCAGGGGATAAGGGAATGATCTTGGTATAACCAACCCGCATGGATGTGGGGTGTGAGGATGGAGCAGTGCCCTAAATCCCACTGAGGGTGCTGGGAAGGGCTCTGGGGTGGGATATTTATGGCCAGAATCAGACCCAAAACTGACAAAAAACTCTGTGGAGCCCGGGTGCCTGTTCAGGGGGGTGGGGGTGTCCTGCTTTTGCTTCTTTGGGGTCCCCTGTTGGGGGGGGTGAGTGTCAGTGCCATCCTGCAGAGACCCGGATCAACTCACTCCACACATGGGAGCTGCAGCAGGTTCTATGATGTTGGCTTGGAGTCAGTGGGGGGTTCCCATGGGCTGCGTGTGAGGTTTGAGGGCAGATGGAGGATGGGGTACCCCAAGCCCTGTTGCTGTTGCAGGGTGGGAGGGGGATGTTTGGGGTCCTACTTCCCCCCCCCCCAGGTATATATGGGTGCTCTCTGTATGTGTTGGGGTGGGGCCACACTGGGGCTCGGTTTGGGGCAGGGGGGGTCTGAGCCCATCCCTGTTGTGATGGGGGAAAGTGAAAGCAGCTGTGAGCAGGAGGCTGCAGCGCATGGCAGGGCCCTGGGGTGCACCCGCCCCCCCCCCCATGTTGGGGCCCCTCAGTCCCCACCTCCAGCCCTGCTTCCCCTTCCTGCCTCAGTTTCCCCACCTCTAAAATGGGGTTAATGATACTGAGCCCCCCTAAAAGCCCCTCTTGGGGGGACACACAGGGGGTGAAGGCTCCATGTGAGGAGCCAAAAAGGGGAGAAATGGGGAATCCCGGGTGCTGTTGATCAAATAAATCCTTCCTTGTCTTCCTGCTCCTTTAATTACTTTTTCCTTAAATTATCACAAATTCCAGCAGAACCTGACCCCCTGCAGGAGCCCGGAGGAGCTGTTCACTCTGGAGCGGAATGGTGGGGAGCTGTTATAGCCCTGCAGCTCCGGTCCTGGAGTGGGGGGGGGTGTCCATGACCCCCCAGCCTGGCCCTGGGGCAGGCTGGGGGTGGTGGCTGTCCCCTGTCCCCTCCCCTGTCCCCATAGCCCTGGCTTGGAGCCCACCACTGACCTTGGGCAGAGCTGCTCCGTGTCCCCCGTGACACGAGGGTCGTCTGGAAGCGTCCCATGGGGTGACCCGAGGGGTGCAAGGTGCTCTATGGGGTGACAGGGGCGGGTTGGGGGTCCTGGGGCTGCCCCATGGGGTGACACGCAGGGGGTGCCCTGGTGCACGTTGTGGGGTGACACCGGGGATGGGGGGGGGGGGGGTCCGGAGCGCTGTGGGGGCTGCTCCGCGGGTCCGCGGGGGGCTCTTAAAGGGCCCCGCACCCCAACTCCGCCGCCGCGAGCTGCGGGGGGCGCCCCCCGCCGGCTGCAAGGCTGCGCCCCGGGGCGCGGGGGGGCGGGCGCGGACGAGGGGGGGGGTGGGGGGGGGGGGCGGTGCGCGGCCCCTTTAAGAGCGGGGCGGCCCCGGCCGGAGCAGGAAGAGAGCCGCATACGGGCCTCGGCGAGCAGCTCCCGCGGGGCGGCCAGAGCCTGCTCCGCCCGCACGGCTCGGCTCGGCTCGGCCCGGCCCGGCACGGCGCGGCCCGCTCCGCTCGCTCGGACCGCACGGCCCGGTACGGGGGGGGACCGGGGGGGGAACGGTGGGGGTCAGGCCCGAGGGGGGGGGGGGGTTTGGAGCCCGACCTCTCTCCTTCCCCCACCCCCCCCCCCCCTCTCCAGGGGCAGCGCTGGGGCTGTGCGGGGTGGGGAGGGGGTGCGGGCCGGGGGGGTTGGTGCGGGGCCGGGAGCGCTGCCCCCCCCCTCCCGCCTGCATACGTTGTACTTGGCCGGGCCGTGCTGGGGGGCGGGGGGGGGGGGGAGGGGGGGGGGGTCGTGGAAGGGGGGGGGAAGGGGGGGGAGGGGAGGGAAAGGCCCCACTCGCCGAAGGGGGTGGAGGGTTCACTGCGCGGGGGCTGCTGGGAGTTGTAGTCCCGCGTGCGCGCCGGCGCGCAGGTGCGTGTGAGCGCGCGGACTACAGCTCCCAAGGTGCCCCGCGCGCGCCGCGAGTGGGAGGCGTTTTGATGGGCAGCGGGCGGGGCCAATTGGGGCGCGCCCTCCACCCCCCCCCCCCCCTTCCACCACCCCCCCCTTCCCCCGTACCCGTTGGCCCTGCCCAATGGCGGGCGGCTGCGCGCGGTGCGGGGTGGCCGAGGACAGGCGCGGCGGGGCCTGCGCTGCTCGGCGGGCGGGACCGCGGCCCTCACCCGGCTCAGCGAGGGGAAGGGAAGGGGAGGGGAAGGGAGGGGGGGGGCTCAGGCGGCGGCCGCGGGGCCGGGATCTCGGCTCGGCGCCCCCCGCCCGGCCTCCATGGCCGCGGCCCGCCCGGGGGAAGGGGTGGGGTCGTGGCGCCCGGCCAAGGCTCCCTGTGGGCCCGCGGGGGGGGGGGGGGGCACCCGGCGGAGGAGGAGGGGGGGCACCCGGGCTGCAGGGTGGGGTCCCCCGGGGCGTGCGGCCTGCGAGCAAGGCCGCTCCTCACCCCCCCCTCCGGCCCCGGCCCGTTCCCGGGTCCCGAGCACCCCAAGGTCGTTCCCCCCCCCCCCCCGGTGGGGGTGGGCCCGGCCGCGCTGCCCCGCAGCGGTTCGCGGTGGTTTTCTGCCGTTCCTTATCGGCCCCCGGCCGGCTCCGCACCCACCCGCAGCGCTGAGGGGGGGCTGGAGGCCGCGCGGTTCGCTGCGATAATCCCCCCCCACCCCCCCCTTCCCTTCCCCTTCCCCTCCCCTCGGTGGCTGCGGCCCTGGGAGCTGGAGGCCGGGCTCTGCGGGGTAAAACCTCCCCCGGAGCTGCGCAATGGCCCCGGCTGGCGGAGGGGGGCATGAGGGGAGGCATCACCCACCCGCAGGCGGCGGGAGGCCGCGGCTTGGCCACGGGGGGGACCGTTCCCGGTCCCCTGGCTCTTGAGTTGGAGGTGACAAGTTGGGACTCGGGATCGTGCTCAAGGTACCCGCAGCTCTTGGTGCTGAGCCCCCGCGGCAGAGCTGGAGGTTCCTGCTGGCTTCCCCCGGAGGGCTGCAGCCTCTGAGCAACCTGATAGTTGGTGATGGCCTTGCTCCTTGCGGGGGGGCGGTTGGACTGGGTGAGCTTTGAAGGTCCCTTCCAGCCCAGAGCGTTCTATGAGGCTGGTGGCAGGAGGCAAAGGCACGGGCTGATGGTGTGGAAGCGGAGTTAGGCTGCTTGCAGCTTGGGGAAAGGGCTGTGTGCAGGGAAAACCCTTGGACCTGAACATGAAACGGGACTCCTGGCACCTGGGACTTCCTCTTTACCAGTGCTTCTAAACCCCAGCGTTCCCGTGCTGAAAGCAGCAGCTCCTGGTGTGCACCCGCAGCCTCAGCTCCTGGAGCACCTCTGACGTGTGGGGCAAGAGCAGTTTCAGCTCCAGGACTCTTGGGAAGAGTTTGCTGCTGGTCTGAGCTCAACATTAGCCCTGTGCTGTTAAACGTCTCTGCTATCGAAACCATAACTCATATATAAGTGCTTTATAGACACGGGCAGAGGAGATCTCTGCCTGGAAGAATTTACAACCTAATGAGGACTGGAGCGGAGCGAAAAGGTCATCCTATTGCTTTCTGAAGTTGCCTTTTCCTTTCTTTCTCTTGAGGCAGTGTTTTATTTCGGGTTGTTTCTGCTGGTCCTGGTTGGAAGTGGCAGCGTGTGGCCCCTTCTGGAGGCTGGTTGGGGTGAGCTGGGCTGGTTTAGGTCCGGTGGGTTGCTGGAGATGTTGTGTTTAAGCAGCTTCAAAAGCAAAAAAAGGGGGGA